ATGATCAGAATTTTCGTGCTTATTCGGATTTAGGGTGATCATGTGAAAAATTCACAAACTTTTTGGTATCCACTGTAGTTAGGAAAAGCGTTTAAACAAATGCAAATAAGATAAGAGTTAAGCGATCAATAAAAAAACTTTTGTGTATAGATTAAAAATTTGAACAACTTTGTTGCCAGTTTCTTAGATTTTGCAGTGATCTATAGTAATAGAGTGTAGACAAGATATAATGGCAATGCTTTTTTAATGGGTTCTCTAATGTTGGCTCAACAGTAATATATATAATCAGAACCATCTAATATTGGTCTTCAGATTTAACACTAAATTGTTCCAAAATAAGCTTATTGTGGTATTTATTCGACATAATCACACTAATCGTCTGAGCTAATATTAGTAAATCAATGACCAAAACGTTCAGTTAATCATAACTTATAAATACAGCACCACCAGTTAATATATAAAAGGTTAACAAGTACCTTTCACGATTTTTAGCCACAGACTTTAGTCATAGTTATCGTTTCTCCCATAATAAGCATGTAGTATAAGTCAAACCACTTTTATTTAGAATAGAATCTTTCTCTCTATCTATTTATTGTGCTTCGATCTAGGTTAACATTAGTCCTCACACTGGACTATAATTATCCCAATGACGATAAGATTGCATTTGTGTCGCCAGTCAACGACGGTGACTTCGCATCAATCGCATTGCAGAATGCAGAACAACAAAATCGATGTAGAGCACGAATATCGCGAAAGAAATTTTACGCATTCCATAGCTCATACAGATATTTTTCTTCCAATTATTTTGGCCGACGATGCCTTCATACTTGCGTTGTAAGAGTAATGATAGTTTATATGGTGATAATAATAATAATAAGGATAAAAAATCTGCGTTAATATTAATATTACTGTAATAGGAATATTTTTTATGTCACACAGACATTAAGTTTTTGAGTTCCGTTTTTGATATACATCAGTAAAGGTTATCGGTATAACGATAATGCAGGAGTGTGTAACAACAATTCAAAAAAGCTGTCAAAGGAAGAAACCGGAACGGAACATTGATTGTTGATCAGTGACTGCATTAACCAGCTTGATTGGTTGACTGCTTTTTGGCCAAACATGGAATAGACAATAGCAATGATTCAATCATGGCATTTATAATAGCACTTTGCGTACGACACGCCAAGTCACTTAATTAAACACTGGACATAATAATAAGCCTCATTTCCTAACATAGATTATGTCTCTTGTTAGAAAAATACAGCAGCTAGATTCAGCGCATATTCCTTGTATCGTTTTTACTAATTGCAACTGAGTTTATTTAATGATGTCTTATTTTTTAAAAACAGCATTTAGACCAAGCAAACAAATCACAACTCGCATATAGTTACTGCGCCCGATGATAATAAAACTTGTAAACTAGATAGATGAATTACAATATATCACTATTGCGATTCGAAATGTACTGTATCAATTATTATATGAAAAAAATACTGATCAAATTATAGGATTTCATGTGCGAGCTCTAATAAATATTAAGCATTGCAGGTTTTGGGACTGGAATTTATGTCCTTTAAGACTGATAAACGCCATTCTTGCGCTTCAACTGGGTAGGGTATACTATTACTATGGTTAGACGAAACCTATATTTCTTATCGGAAAAAACGTGGCTTAAAATTTGGGGTACTTGCCGATCTACGTGTATCAAACAAAAACGAAACTTTATCCACCCGTTTTACGTGACAAATTATAATTCCTGCACCAGCCTTAATTTTTGTTCGTGGCGCATAACGATGCCAAAGATAGAATATGCATGGCGTATTCTTGTATGTATACTAACTCACTAGACGCGAATATAATACCAATTAAAATAAGATCCTGAGATTATGTATCACTTTGACTGATATCTCTTCTGCGTTGATGAAACGGCCCAGAATATTATGACGGTGTCAGCTCACATAAAGCTTACTGCATCCAATAGCTGCACAGGTATCCCAACATTGACTTCTAAGTTTTATTTGCTGATCGACTTCGTACAATCGTAAAACGCTGTCTTCCCGCCTGATCTTCACATAGATTGGTGCCATTTGCCAACTTCGGAATAGAAGGACCCGGAGAGATGCACATTAAGCGCGTAACAATTACTTGAATCAAAACAGGTATCAAACGCCATAGTTTCACTTCCAATCTATTTATTTCAACTCTTGTTCTATTCTTCGCCAAACGTTTGGTAAAACGATGGGAATAATATACTATAAATAGTAGGCGTTGTATTCAAACTCGGCCAAATATGAGTCAATGCATGTGAAAAGTCAGTCCACTCGCTTTCCTAACACATGGCAATCAATGCAAATGGCCAATATTATATTTTCGACGTCATTTATTTCTCCCTAAGAATCGTTTCGGTCCCCTACTATTTGATATTGATTATAAAAAGAAAAAGCAAACGTTCATTGTTTTCAATGACGTCGTAGACTGCGTTTCCTGTCACACGGTTTATAATATTTCATATCTTAACAAAGTGCCTATTACCACCCACCTTTACCCATGATTATGAACCTCTCAAAGCAAAACAAAATAGCAAACTCACCTCTTGCCACGTCGTGGGTTTTCGTCAATGTCAATAGAACTCGACTGTTCCAGCTGCATAGCGACACCGGTCATTATGTCCATATCGGATGGTCCACGATCACTGTTCTTGGATGATTTAGTCACTTCCTTACGAGAGCGTTCGACTTCTCTTTCATATTCCTCTCTCTCAAGTTTATTGGCTGTTTGTGCATCCCGGATTTCTACAATTTTGTCATCAATAGCTTTTAGCATTTCTTCGGATGTTGTGGACCTGTTGGCGAAAACGGGGATCGACAGGATATTCGAAGAATGATAGTGTTAATGAGGCTACGCCGGTTGATGGAAACGATCAAACTATTTTTACCAGTCAGCGAGTACTTTCAACATCTGGTCAATTTGACCAGGTCTGAGGTCTCTTCCCATTGTATACTCGACCCCGAGTTGCTTCTTCTTCTGATCTAATTTGCCTTTGACTACTCCTTGGTAAATAGCTTCAATAATTAAATCTTCGAGTTCACGCACGTTCGGGATATCCAAGTATTCTAACAACCGAGAATATGGAATAGTCTGCATCGGAGACATACAATACAATTAAATACAAACTAGTACAACAAATGAAATACGACTATCGGGCTTGAAAATATATACTCACCCGAGTAGTTTCAGATAAAGATACAATGGAGAGATGTTTAAGCTTATTTAATTGAGCATTATCCAATTGGGGAAGTGAATCTCTGTTTTCTTCAAGAAATCTTTTGAAATCAGCAAAATTACCAACAATATTCAAACAAAACAAACAAATACGAAACTTATTTGCAGCAGTCACAAAGCATACCTTTATAATCTTTATACGTTCCATATGAGAATAACCGAAGAAGAGTGTAATATTGCTTATAGTTTTCATCGTTATCGAGCTAACAGAGTTGTGAGAGCCAATAAATTAGGAATTACAATATGTACAAAAGATATTTGCCCTTTATCTCTCTCGAGTTTATTACATATAACCACTTTAATCCCCCTCCATTACGTTGCATTAATTCTATCTACGTACAACCGTTAAGTCTCCAGCTCTCCACTCTTCGCTGAAGTTCTGACTCGAATCAAATAAACGTCGAATGTTTACATTAAGTGGCCCGCAATGATCGTACCTCTTTAATATTATCTGCCTTTAGGAGCTCTGCAAACACATACACTCCGGGCTTAGCCAGTACTTCTTTGATAAGTTGCACTGCTGCAGCGCCTTTTGTTGACTTGGCGAGGAGTAAATATGGTTCTAAACGCTGTCGTGCTGAAGATACAGTTGATTCGACCATAGTGAATTAACAGGGAACGAATGGTAATGGAGGAATATAGTAGGTCCCAGGAGCGTTAGAAAATGATGATATGGTAATGTGAAGCATACCGCGTTTAATGGTGATCAATCAAATTTCGTGTGACGTGCGATTTCTATTTGGCTTGGTTTCTTGTATTTGCGTTTCGACTTTGAGAGCTATCTATGGACGCTAACATTTTTGACGAATACCCCGGACCAGGAACAACCTTCCACGCTCCACTTGCACACTCTATTCCTAAGCTCAACTCTCTCTCTGAAGCTAAACATTGCACTCGGTGCGGTAGGAAGTTTAGTTTCCTACGGCCCAAATATCACTGTCGTAACTGTGGTATGTTTGTTGTTTATGTTTTTGTTCCAGTCGTGTCCATAACGCTAAATAACGTCCCATTTAGGTTATGTCTGTTGTAGTCGATGTTCAGAAAATAGAGTAGAATTGTCAAAGTTTGGTTATTTTAGGTGAGTATTCGTAGCTAACCTTTGGAGCAATACTCGCAAATCGAGTGCTTCCTTGTGTTTGGTGGGGAAAGGCGAAAGTATATAGTGAACTGACGGTGGACCGAATTTGTATAGTCCTGTGAGAGTATGCGACTTGTGCTTTAACTATCTCAAAAGTAAGTTAACAATATGGGGGCCGTTGTTATGATGTTTGATTGCTACTCCTCACATCATATTATTTATATTTAGTTTCAAAGTTGGCGCGCAGTCAACTTGCTACTTTGCCGAGTAGAGTATTGAGTGATTACGTTAAGGCGTTCAATCTACCTACGAACAATATTATAGAAAAGGATGATCTGGTTTCAGTAATAATATCGCAGCGACCGTTAGGAGAACAACAAGAGATATATTATAGAGAACATATTCCAGTAGCAGAGCCAACTGTATCAGCGGATTCTGCTCCATCGGCTGAGGAAAATTCTGGGAACAACAATCGGCCTAGAACTCAACAATCCACTAGCGGACGGGGTAGACGTAATCAATCTAGAAGACCAAATTCACCCACTTCTGGTCTTAATGGATCAAATGGAAGACGTACCTCATCATCTGCGTCTGCTTCTGCTGGAGCCAGAGCAGCTTATCCACCACGTCGACCTTCTCATTATTCCCAACAACGCCAATCTTCATCTCAGTCGCAGTCACCTGCTTCATCGTTTGTATTGCCTCCAATGTTTGAGAACGTATTTGATTTCTTAGGACAATTTTCCGGTGCTCAATCTTCCTCCTCCTCCTCTTCTTCCTCAAGAGACTCTAGTCCACCACCTGGTCATTCTGCTTTTCCGTTTAGTACTTTTGATGTTCCCTTATTTTTTCCTTCTAATAGTCGATCGAGTAGCACGACAACTTACAGTACATTTTATTCAACACCTATGACAACAACATTTTCTGATTCATCGAACGATAGCAACACTCCGCGTACAGATGGTTATACTTCTTCGTCTGGGCGTTCACATACGGTTCGTACACAATCTACCACACGCACTACTACTCAAGCTTCATCTCACCCATCAGCTGCATTTGCAGCAAATCGTCGTACTCAGCAAACAAGACCTGGTGGGACAGGCTCTGGACAGACACAGCGTAAAACGGCACATGATGGTCCACCAAGCATTTATACGATAATAAAGAACAAAATAGAGGTCCACAAACTGTCTCCAAAAGCACTCAAGGATATTCTTAAGGATAATGGTGTAGACTATACCGGAATAGTCGAGAAATCAGAATTGATTCAGAAAGTTGAGAGGTTAATTGAGAATGCTAAGAAGGAGATGGCTACCGATGTTGATAAATTGAGTGACGATGCCCTATGTAAAATATGTTGTGATGCACCACAAAATTGTGTAATACTAGATTGCGGTATGTATAAAATCATGTATTATATTGGAAAAGCATATTATTATACATAATCATCATGTGTTTATATTTGTAGGTCATATGAGCACTTGTATGGACTGTGGCAAGAAGTTACAAGAATCCAGAAATGAGTGTCCAATATGTCGGGAGACTATAGTGAAATTACTTAGGGTGTTCAGATCATGATTATTGTACTTATGCAGCAAATGTAGGAGATAATAATAGTATAAGGAGAAGACATTGTGCCAACCAATAATCATCTATATCTCTGTAATAGTACAAAGATATATTGCATATATTGCTCTAGATGTGTATGTGTATAGTTGTTCTCAGAACGTTGCTTTTGGAATGAAAAAGAGCTATCAAGCATTTTACTTGTAGTATTTGATTCTATCATAGATAAACAGGATTTGTTTTCAATCAGCCGTGCAAGATATCTGAACTTGATCTAAACAAAGTGAATAAGAACGTTGAATTTTTTGCAGGACTAGTAATTCATTGCTTGCTCAGTATGAATCTATTCTACGGAGGACCATCAAGGACACATTGATATTTCAAAATTTTAAGGTATGGGCCTATCATATGAAAAAAGTCTATCATGAATAAGAGCCTGTAATGTTGCGTGGTCACGGGAGAGTTGGCCTTGGGATTTAAATACACTTCGACTGTTAGTCTAATTCAAGCTTTAACTACTCACAACCAAGTATCGATCTGTAAACACCAACCCTAGATTGCTACGACCCTCTTCCGCGGGATCAATTCGGAAGTCCGTTGGTTGATAGCTATCTAAACAGTTTATTACTTGGACGAATGGCAATCTTGTTTGCCACCAGGATATTCAAAGGATAAGTGTCCAATATCCTTAATCAATATAAGGATTAGTGGTTCGCGCGCTCTACTGAACGGTTTCCAGGGTAGTTAATTATAAAACGAAACAGGGTCCTTTTCGGAATGGGGTGCAATCTGCAATCACCTAAATTGTTTATATTATTTCTAAGTGTATGAATCTTTTAGGTGATTTTGCAAATAGGTCAGAACAGCTCAGATGGAACCCATCATAATTCTCTTTCCACTTAGATTAGTTAAATAGCATCAATAATCTTTATTGGTCATGTGAGGAGATTCATATATGTCCATTTGCGCAAGATCGAGTTATTGTTCGCTGGTCCAGTCCGCTCTCGGGTGAATGACTGAAATGAGAACAAAGATGACGAGTCTTTGACATGTATTGGGCAAAGAATTGGTCAGAGTTCAAACTCTCGATCCCAGAGAGTTTATTTATCTTGCTTATATTATGTAAATCACAAGCCGGCTAACGACTGTCTTGACTGTCTAACTATATTCTTTACCGTCTTTAACGATAATTCAGGAAATTTTGTTGACAGGCTCATTTCGTATAACCACTGTATCTGATCATAACTAAATTCATCAGGTCGTCTATGCTCCCACAACTCTTCTTGTATTTTTGACCACACAGCTTTAAGTACATCATGATCAAGCAACTCATTATATACTGCATATGCTCCGGACGATAATTGTTCTTCTCCGTTGTCGGTAGAAAAGAATTTATCCATTTGCTGTCTCACAGAGTGAATAAATGCCACCTGGATCAACGCATCATCACCATTCTTACTAGAACCTTCTTTCATTATAGTTTCATAATAGACAAGGATTAATTTAATGTTCCACATTGTTATTACATCCATTTGGGGATTATGCAGATTTTGATATAAGGCAAGATATATATGAATGGCTTCTGGTTTATCGGCACTGAGACATTCCCGTAATACTCCAGTGCAAAAAGCTGCTAGATCACGATCTGTTTCATCGTCACAAAGATGGCTGGCGAATGCTAATACCTGGGGATCAGCGGAAAATACTTTGACCAGTTCCATTTTACTCAGCCCTGGTCTTTTTGATGGTTTGGCCGCCAAAGTTTGTCTTGGGAATAGACGGGATAATAAATTCCAATTATCTTGAGGATCCTATCAGGTAATAATCAAAGCCGTGTTTGATGTTTAGTGGTAGGTCGTGGGACGTATTTTCAAGCTTTAAAATTTTTCCGAAAAAGCAGTATGAATCTTTCTCACCTCAGAATAGCTTAGATGTCCAGTCTTCCTTTTGACGTAAATAGTTGGGTCCTTCCAGAACCTCTCCCGTAGGTCTTTGTTCTTACTCAAATTTAACCATATCGGCCAATACCTGGGACTATCTATCTCAATTGTAACGACGAATTTAGACTCTGGTAACAAACACGGTGCCACCATAGACGAAACTCTTGCTTTATCTTGGCGTACTGAGACTACTGTAACTGGTACGTGACACGCCTCGCGTGTCTCCACGTCGCGTACAATAAGACACCTAGGCTCTATTGCAAGTACCCATAAATGCCTGAATGCTTGCAGATGCGAGCGATTATCTACAGGATCAGCTGGCCATCGGAAGAATAGCGAACACAAGAGTGCCGCGACTGCCTTGTCAGATGTTCCAAGCGTATATGTGCCACCACCAAGAAATAGAAACCCTAATGCCATACCGGTCGCCATGTGAGCACCATAGGACCGTGAGGCAACATGCGATATGTCGGGACGGTGAAGCTTACGTAGACGGCGGAGCACTTCTAAATTGCCCGTACCTGCCATTACAATCCCTGCACAAGTTACAAGGACGTTCAGACATGTCTTTATATTCATTCGTGTTATCTGTTGATCGAATAAAGTTGCTATAAGAAGATGTTATAGTTATTCAGAGGTGATATATGCATGTATACTGGCCATAACGAAGTTATTCATTGAAATTGTCTCGACATACCTCTTGCATGGACAAGGTTCAAGAAGCGATCGAGATGATGCAAAATCACTTGTAAAACATCTTCATCCGCAGAGCCTGCGTACTTTAGCGCAAGGCTAAAGCACGATCCTGCAATTACGCTATAATATGCTTGTTTAAAAGATTCTATTTTGCTATCTTCGATTTCATTCTGCGCATTTCTCAGCCCATCTTTAATAAAACTTGGGACATCACTCTCAACCCATTCCAAAGTCGGTTCAATATTATCCCACATTATCAGATGTCTAGCTAGAATCCTTGCTAAAAGAAAATCGGGACGTACATAATCCAAGAAGAAAGCCGTCTCTGGAATTGGGATTCTTTTTGCGATACTAGCATTATTAGTTTTTAAATACATTAACCCGAGTGCTATTGTAGAGCCTAATGACGTCACGTTGATGTTGATATCTGCGTTGTTTTTATATACGCTCTCTGATGATTGTGTGTTTCCAATCATATATAAACGCAGTTGAGACATTATATTTAAATCGGCCAATCCAGGTGCGTCATCTCCCTTTCCTAGAGTTATAAGACCCAAAGATAGACCGGCTGCAAGAGAATAACCTTCGCTGTAATCAAGGTCTGTAGTCATGGCCGTGGTCCAATTTTTTGCTGCAATCTCACTAAGCATGACCTGTGCCATACGACGATTACATGTACCCATATAGAGCAAACCAATACCAAGCACCGCAGCCGTTTGAGTTAAAGAAGATACATTAAGTGAAGAAGAATTTGGTGGTAACAGTGCAGGTATATGTACAGCGATAAGCTTTGTAACTTGCGTATCCATGTTCCCGCAGAATGACGCTGCAAGTCCGATTACCAATGCAATAGAAGTTGCATCATGCTTTGGAGTTTTCATCAAATAGTCCACTGCTCGCCAAGTTCCTAATTCTTTCAGATGTCCATTCAGACCTAATCCCAATAGAAACCCAGCATGCGTATAATTCAGCTCTGCGGGTTTATTGAGGGTAATCCATGAACCATCTACTTCTTCGCTATCAGAGGAAATACGCATCCCTGCTGCAACTCCTTGGTGAAATTCGGGCCAATCACTAAAATCTGGTAGACGAAGGATCTTGTCCAATGCTATGACCGTGTTGTTGGGAACTATTTTCATAGTCATCGGAAGATGCGTGATTGGGAAGCTTTCTGTTGCGATGGGAGTTGATGTTCCATACGTTAGAATAGCGCGGCCAACAGGATGTGCAAAGTTTTTATACGCTTGTGCTTGTACAAACTCTATCTGCTGAGCTGAAATTTCCACATCGGCAGAACTATATATAAAGTATAATGATCAGTAAGATTTTAAGAAAGCAATTAATTTCTCCTATACTGACCTCTGATCCCCTGGTTGACCATCAACTTTTATGGTGTTTGATGATTGCAAGAGTCTTTGAACTTCCGTTAATCGACGATCCCTATCAAAGCGCAAGTCTGTTATTTCGTGATTAGAAACCTCGGTACCTGTCATCTCCTTCTCTTTATTATCGCTGGCATTGTTGCTGCTGCTGGTCGTGGTTGATTCTCGTGTAACAGCTGACCGAGCAATTGTATGAGCATCCGTTGGTGGCTTATCCTGATAATTAATAGAATAATAAGCACTTTCGACGAATACAACCTAAAAAATGCAAGTATGTTTACCAAGTTAAGACCACGCCGAGAATGGAAGTACATCGACGTGACGGGTATTCCAAATGTCAGTTCAGCAAGATCTTCTCGACCTATGGGACCATCAAATTCAATTTTCAGTTAAATAACATAAGTTTCAAACTCTTCATCAAAACAATCAACTGACGACATGCCTACCTATTAGCACATAAGCATCTCCTGGCCAATTATCAGGCGGATGTTTACGACATGCCCTGATTGCCTCCTTCAGCGGAAGCCCAATGCCAAACGGTAGCCCGTCAACATCTTTCATTTTGAAATTCAACGTCGCCATCTCAAGCACCATGGCCTCCGCTCCTTCACTAAAGAGTTTATTAAAAAATGCGCACAACTTTTCAGTTCTCACACAGATCGCAGAGTCTCTAACGGCTCTTTTTTGCTTCACAGAAAATTCACTTTCGATCAATGCCATCGTTGGAAAGGAAACGACTGGTCCCTCGGTGCGTATCCTTGTCAGTATCCATTTATAAATATCGGGTGGTGTAGCAAAGATCGTATCTTCTGATAATTGCTCAAAATGCTTCCGTACTGTTTCGTGGAAACAAGAGTATATTGATTGTCGTTTGGATATGTTTAGTAATTTGTTAAGAACTTCTGCAAATGCCCATGAGATTTCTTCATCGGAAATACCTACCAACCTGGACAACTCTCGAGAGCGACTATATTCGCATTCTGTTTCTCGTAACATCTTTTATACGATTCCCAAGACACAAAGACAGCGAGGTTCAGTAGTAGCGATAATAAATCATCCATGTATTTATGAGAATCAACGTCAAGTTTCAAATCTTCAAGAACAAGATGTAGTGCACACAGTATCGCCTCACAAGATTTATAGCTTAAATATCCATTGTAATCGTCGCCCTTCTTCAATGACGTCCTAAGCCAGTCCGATCCATTGATAAAAGTAGCACTATTGAAAAATGCACGAAGCTTATCCGCTTTCCTTCCGGCACGACAAAAAGCATCTTTTAGACTATTAAACGTAGTATCCTGTTCTATATTTAAACACTGAAACACTGTGTCTAGTTTTATTTTACTGTAATGGTGAATGGCAAGCATGGCCATCCATGGGTCGTTTTTATCAAAGTGATGAGTTTGCCACTCAGGATGCAAGGACCGTGTCCTGTCCTCATCCTGCACACCTTCAAAATGCCATTCGATTAAAGATAAGATTACGGCGAGAAAGTTCTCCCACTCAGATGACTGTGGTGCACAAACAATCTTACATCCAAACTGATAGTAAAGATATCTTTGATAAAATTCGCCAAAATCTTTCGCCGATAATGCGAAACTGAGTGCATTAATGCATCTTCGTACTAGAGTTGACCGCGTGACAAAATTAAGACTGGCACGAACGATCTCTTGGTTATCAAGAATCAAATTCACTCGATAGTTTACGCTGTCTCTGAGACTGATAACAACAGACTCTTTATACGTCGCCTGCTTCGTCATTGATTCGTACAACGCTTCTGTTTGATAGCAAAGACACTGTTTCGATGGCGAAAGGTTTTGATGCGAAACCAACATTGGCATCATGACGCGCAAGCTTCCTTCGCTTCCTGTCCATAAATGCAACCGGCGATTGACATCAAGTATTAGAATATCATTGTAACTCACACGTGTTGCCATAATGGGTACGGCAGCAATAGCTGCCGCATTCAATTGGTTTGATATTCTGATGCCTCCATCCCAAGGTTCCATGGATATCAGTGTTATGCATTTTGAAGATTTAGTATGTATACATAGTATTTCCTGTCCCTCATTATCATGAGCAATAAAAGCTGTGCTATCATCACCTAATTCTTCACTAATAAATAAATGCGTGTTTGAATATAAAGTACACAACAAAAGACCAGCATATCACACGACTCAGATACATACGTTGGTGAATCCGCGAGAAATTCTACTTGTTGTATACCAGTTTCGATGTATTCCAAATAAATCTCCGGAGATGCATCCATTGAAGTTATTTTATCCGCAAGAGAGGATCCTTCAGTGTCGGGATACAAAAACCTGTCCACACTCATGGTTGAATCTTGACGTACTAGCCCATAGGAACTGCGTCGACTTCTACTTTCGATTTGTTCGAAAGTAATTCGACTATCCTCCTTCCTAATAGCATATCTACAGACAGAAAATAACCCACTCACACGATTACGCAATACTATAAATGAACTACCATCATCAACAGGATTTACGAATATAATATCTTCGTCACTGGCCACAAATGGGCGCGTTGGTTGACCTATAACGATGTGATTATCAAAGTAGGAGAGTTTTGGTGCTACGGATACTGGCCTTATTTCATCTAAAGGATCAAGAAGGCTATACAGTGTTGGCAGATCAGCCGTCGTGTGTTCATCATTTTCTTCCTCTTGCATACAACTCAACAATAAACCGGTCTTGAGAGCAACTGCTTCCCGAACGGGAAACGGCATTCTCAGCATTTGTGTCTTGCCACCCGGAAAATAGACTTTGGCAAATGTCTGAAGCATAATGCACACACACCGTTGTCGGGTCACTCTTATCATTGACATTCCTTCAAATAGTCCTCTAGTGCCTCTATCGTTCGTGAAAGCGACATTCGTATCTTTTGACTGTTTTATTACCTCCTCGACATTGAACCAAACAAATAATGCTCGCTTAACACGTTGTTGAAACGTGAAACTTTTTTTAATCACATTTCCTTTACTCCATATCACCGTTTTATCCTTAACATAAAGTTCCTCATCAAAGTCATTATCAATAATTTCTTGACAAAAATCCTTTTTCCTTTGAGAAACGTCGTCTTCAATATCGTCGGATGTCCCACTATATAACTTGTAATTTGGTGTAATATTTTGCGCTATAGAAGGGCCATTGAAATCCCAGAGAGGAAATGCCTCTGATCTCGGTTCAGAAGGTTGATCAATATCAAATTGATATTCTTGTGACTCTTCGGGGTTTCCAAGATCCTTACGCCTTGCTGCGCGTCTCTCGAGAAATGTCTTCCCAAAAGGGACGAATTCACCCAGAACGCGTACTTCCATCTTTCTTAATCGTGAACGTAAGATGTGTCAACTGTTAATGTGATTGTGTGGTACAAGAGATGCGGATAGCAGATCGACAAGCGATCCATTACATATTAATAATGACGTAATAGGTTTACGAATTTAATATTAGAGACTTTTTGATGCAAGTACGCTAGATACGATATGTCCGCGACTCTCCAACAGACTTCCCGGCTCTATAGCGAACTTCAAAATGAGTTTTATTCAAGTAATCCAGATCTCAATAGGTGTGGTCAGTACTTGGCAACGTTAAAGGTTGGTTGTTAACATAATATCGGAAATAGCTCGACAAGTCTGATTTATTAACACTTTCGTAATTGCAACAGGTCATGTTGTCAAAAATTTCCCTCCTGCTTCCAGAAGGTGAAATAAACAATGCGGAAGCACTCTTGATTGGTAGTATGTATCGATTGTCAGAATAGAAGCAATGGCGTGAACTTTGATTTACAAATGAATTAAATGTAAATCTCGTTTTACGCCATTAGGGAATATCCTCGAAATTGGAGCATTGTGGAGTGTAGCGACAAAGGATATACCTTCCTTTGAACGATACATAGCCCAACTACATACGTATTATACCGATTATGGGTCATTATTGCCACAATCGCAACAAATGTATCCGCTTATTGGATTGAATCTCCTTCGTCTTCTATCACAAAACCGTATTGCTGAATTCCATACTGCCTTGGAGAACATCGAACCTGAGCAACTACTGGACAATGCCTATGTCAAACATCCTGTGCATTTGGAACAGTACCTTATGGAAGGAAGTTATAACAAAGTATGGAATTCACGAGCAGAAATACCAGCTCCACAATACGCCTTCTTCATTGATATTTTAATGGAAACGATCAGGTAACCCATCGAATTAGAAATAGATTCAACGAAAGCGCATTGTTATTAAAAGCATGTATGTGTGCTTACATTGTTTATTTAATTTAGGAATGAAATCGCGAGTTGCAGCGAGAAAGCATATACATGTTTACCATTAGCCGATGCAGCCACATTGTTATTTTTTGACAATCGCCAAGATGTTATGACATTTGCAATGGAGGTAAGAATGTGTATACTATTTGTTATTATTATTAAAATTTCTTGAACGTACATCCGTTCCCCCACTGTCATTACGATCCACGAAACCTTCGCTAATGTATTCATCTGTTTTAGCGTGGTTGGCAAGTGGACACGGATGGGAAAATCTATTTTGCAACAAAGAATGATAATATGGTTGAAATACCTTCGACGAGTATTATCAAACACACACTTTATTACGCCCGTGAGTTAGAGCAGATTGTGTAAAACCGTTAGCTAGCGAACGATATAGAATTAAAATTATTCGAATAACATTCATTATTACGATACAAACCATAATCGCCAACGATCACTTTACCGAATAGATACTTCTTCAGTTTGCCTTAACGTTCTTTGCATGCATCCATGTGAACAAAATTTATATTCAATCGGAAGCGAACGTTTACAAAAGTTAACATGGATCAGATGCTTGAGAGCATCGTGAAATAGTGGTGATACGCATCCAGAACATCTTTTTGGTGGGTGGCCAGCAGGTAATGTTAGTCGCTCTAATATGCGATGTGGAAGTACAGCCATGAGGCAATTCTCATCTGCTTCAAAATCACTCTGATGACGACAATATTTACAGTACGCGTGGGGTCCTTTGTTATGAAGGACAGATCCCACAATTTGTGTACAAATGTCAGTAAGTGACATGACCTTTGTATTCTTATTATATGCCTTGATGACTGTATCATTACTATTATCGTCTTCGTTTGCGGCTGTGTTATGTCTTTCCATACCAAGAGTATTGTCTGCATCATTGTCATTCTCCCTTTGCCTATCGTCGATGCCTGCGACGTGATCAAGAGGATTTCCATCAACCATCAGCTCCCGCAATTTGGTTAGATTTTGAACTTCAGCTGGCAGCACCTTTAGTCTATTATTCCTCAAATCCAATACATGGCATTTTATACATAATCCAATTTGCTGAGGTATGCTGGTTAGTTTATTTGAACGAACATCGAGTCTTTGCAGAGAAGTCAATAAACCAACATGTGGAGGGATAGTTGTCAATTGATTAGAATTTAGACGCAATTCTTGGAGTCCAGTAAGTCGGAAGAGCTCAAGCGGAAGAGTTTTGAGTTTGTTGAATTGGATATAGAGTCGTTGTAAGTTTGCAAGGCGTGGTACGGCAGGAGATAGTATAATCTAAATAAATAATTAACATAATAACAGTATTACCATGTGGCAGTGTAAGAAAAACACGAACAACTAATCGAGATAATACCAGTTCTCGGATATTCAAGTCGATAAGTCTGACAGTGTCATTCCTTGGAAAATGCTGAGTTTTCGACTTTGTTGATTCCTTTGTGTTATCCTTGTCTAATGGTTTCAGTTTATGTGTGATAGTATATCCTCTTTGGGTATTCTCTATCTTCCATAGAACAACAGAATGATCATATTTATTTACTTCATGGCTTTTCAATATTTCATCAGGGCTCTTTCCCGGGAGCACTAGTTCTAATTTTCGTTGCAAATTCATTTCTTGATCAATAAGTATCAAATTCGACAAAAAATCAGGGTGCCACTTGGCGATCGAAGTGAAAGATGTTTACGCAGTTGCAAAGTGGTAATGTTTTCAGTGTGCTCGGAATTCGCTGGTCGCCTTTTAATATTAGGACGGGCTTCTGTAATATACTCAGACGTAGATATGTGGTTTCAAACAAACGAAATAATAACATACTCGAAGAATATCGAGATGACATCCTAAAAACATATCAAATTCCTGGAAAATACCTGAAATTTATAAAAAAGAATAGACGGCAATTGAAGAAGGAAGCTTATTTTACAGCTAACTATGGTAGCGAGGTATGCGACAATACAATTACAAACAAGCCAACCAAAATTGTAAGTACATAAACTCTAAAATATGCTTATTTCTCAACAATACATTCAAACAATAGTCGATCAAAAGAGTTAGCGCACGCAAATACCGAGGGGAAGATGTTTTCAAATCCAAAGATCATCGCCAATCTGAATCACAACGCGATTTATCTCCTCAACAACAAAACCTCATAAATCGTGTCCAACGCGCCTTGGTAAAGTCTCAGCTCGCATTACCACATGCGTATCTTGGTTCACCATTTGTAAAGATAGTAAACGTTAGCGTGACACCTAATCTTCGCACTGCACAAGTTTGGTGGAAAGCGGAATCACAAGGAACGGTAACTACGCTAGATATCGAGCATAAAATGAGGGAACATGTCGCATCACTTCGAAATATTGTACAGCAACAGATCAAAGTGAAAAAGCCACCAAAAATTGTATTCTTGAGGGGGGATTTGGCTGTCGGCGATATAGGCAAAATCTTGGACAAGTTGGAAGCCGAATTAAAAACTTTAGATGCAAATCATCCTCTTGACGAGAACAGTCTATTAAATAAAAGTCCGGATTAAATACTCTAAAATGCTTATTCTTCTGTCAAATATCCTATCTTATACATTTTCCTGCAATAAAACAAATTACACCCTATATTAGAAGGCCTATTCTCTCCATGTTACATTGTGGCATTATTATGCTCATACAATTGACCCAACAACGCGAAAACACCAGCCTCTCTAGGTTGATCTTGCTCTGCTGAATCCGATAATGTTCCGTCACCACCGTCCTTGCCACCAGTCACCAAATAACTATCACCAAGTTCACTCGCATGGTTCTCTTCACTGGTGAACGAGTTCAACGGTTCACTAGTAGTAGCATAGGCATGGCGCTGATGATACCCATGACTGGGCCCTCCTTGATCAGTTATTAACGAATCATTGATATTACTAGCGAGAGATGAACGGTAGGCATGAGAATAATTTGGCGGATGCGATATGCTATTAGAGTATCCATGGGTGTTGAAATGAACTGTGCTATTACGACGATTGTGACGTGTAGGAGTATAGTCAACATTTGATTCGCGGAGTTTACTCGTACGATCGTGATGTATTTGATTATTGAATTCTGCAAGGCGGCTCAAGTACATCGAGCCAGACGGGTCTGTGGGTTCCCAATCGGGGTGATTGGCCTAATTATTTTGTAAAACGTAGAAAACTATGTAAATATCGTGTAATAGCGAAAACCAACAAGTTTTCAATATCACAGTACCTTAAAGTTCAGAAAACTCTTTTCCATCTTTCCTTCTTTCGAGAGATAATATTCGTTGGCCACTTCAGTTGGCGCACCATACTAAGAAAGCGATGAGACCACACGCTTAGTAACCACCATATCACACAAAAAACAAGTTTCACAAAAAGTATAATGCGCTATCAATTGCTTCCACATTGCATAATCAATTACCTTCACATTGCCGTGTCTCTTAAAGTCAAATACGGCAAAACTACACACGTACCCGACGCCATCCACATGAACAGTGAATTCTCGAAAGAAATCGACAATCTGTTCACTGCAGTCAGGTAACGAGAGCCATAAAATGAACGGAATAAAAATGACACTCAGGATATTTTGGAGTATTAACACCACTTTCAGTTCAAACATCGATCCGAATTCTTTTCGGACCTGTTAAAGCATAATATTATTAATGCAATTCCTGTAAAGTATAACTCTTGCACTATTGCTACACCAAAAGGTGCCAACAAACCTTATCTTTATGCAGGTTCTCTTTCCACTCACTCGGCATGTAATGCGTATATTCTACGACTCGCTTCAATGTCTCTTCCGCATTGACAACCTCGGTCTCATCTGGAATTAATTTGGTAATCACAGCAAATATAGACGCGAACACACCGAAATAGAAAAATAATGATTTCCCGGGAGTTATTTCGAAATTTAGCGCAAATTCTGTATGTATGACTGTTGGTATTAAAAGGATGGCCGTAAAGGAGCCGACTACGAAAGAAAGGAATCTGAGTTGACGAGAGAAACATTAGTTTCAAGCTAAAGCGCCGGAGGCACTGTATTATTATGCAAACAATACACTTACTTCATGAATAGAACCGTTTTCTTCTTTGGAAATTGGTCTAGATATTTACTGGCATGCTCGTAACTGTGGTTCAATCGCATTTCAAATAAATGAGGCAATTCGTTAAATTCACGGAACTTCCATCGAGCAAAGGGCGACCATCGACGTGACATCATTTCTGTCGGGTTAAACCGGAATTTCTACAATGTAACAGCCTACTAAGTACAGCCATAAAGTATGCTTTCTCCGAGGTAAGTGTGAAGTGATTATTGCTTACCACCAAGTGATCGAGAAAGAATGTTATCAAATTGAATATGACAATAAAGGGTGCGGCAAGATGGTTCATGAGTCCCATAAAAATAAATCGGCGACGTAGACTAATGACGGTAAAGATACGTGTATATTTAGCAACCACTATCATCTTCAGCGAAAATTTACATAATTGACTTGTTAACTCGTTCATACCCACCCTCTTATCAACTGTTCTCTCTGTCTTACGTCCTTGACAAACCGTTTTCTTACTTGGCCTCTATTGTTGAAAACATAATCTATTATGCAGAAATTCAAATTCCATTCTAATGTCTTCGTAAGTATTTGTTTCCCCCTCAAGAAAGGAAAGGGTATTGATAAATTCAATAGATCCTTGTTAAATAACGCAATAAGATAATTCTCTTGTCGCATTATTCTGTTGGCAATGTTGTGAGCATCAAGGCGTTGTTGACTCTCTTTAAGATGCTGACCCTGTATCGTCGTAGGATTATTGTTACGAATTTTCATTATCCGGTTAACTACGTTCTGCCACGATACTGTCTGTATGTCAGCCTAACAATCGGTGTTCAATAAATCAGTATAATGTTACTTGCAGAGGCAGAACAAGAAGAAGAAAAAGCTTGCAATCTTTACATCCGGTATTTCCAGAAGATAAGTATAGAAATTATACATTTCAGTAAGCTCACGAACGTCCAAAGCTAGTCGTATTGCCTGCCACACCCAGAAACACATGCACATAAAGAGAAACCATTTCGTCGAGCCTGACAACCTGAAAAAGATGCGAATATTACTAGGGTCTACCTTGTTGATAAATTACAGAAACGCTTATGCCAAATGACTTACTGGCTTATGCATTGTGGAATCACTACATCAGATAGCCTATGACTGGGGCCTAGCTTGGGATAGTCTATACAACCGACCAAGAATGTCGAGAAACATACGACAAATGCGAATTTCCTACAAATATTTCAAAATGCGAAAAAAGTCATCAGAGCAAGAATTTCAAGAAAATCACAAATCAAGCTCGCATGGACTCACAATATGTTTAATAGCCTGCCGAGCAAAATGCAGTATATGCCGTGCCCTTGGTAATAAGCGTATACCTAAACGTTTAAAAAAAACACAAGATCGGCTCAAAGATCCAAATCGGACTGTCCAACACAAGACAGAAATAATCCTATATCAACGAATCAGACCTGTCCAAGAAAATTGTCCAGATTCTCAACGTTCGTCCATCTCCACATTGTCAAATCCTTGATATTCATTCCGGGTCTCATATGAGGACTCTGTTGATTATGTCGTGGGCCAAAGTTGGGAAACCAACGAGGCCTATTTGATTGTGTATTTATACCCTCGTTTATCGTTCGGGGTATTTCAACCATTAATGACGCTGGTGCCTCATCGAGTTCATTGTAGTCCTCGTCTGCTATGTCGTTAGGTTGGACGCTCTGATATTGATGGTTTCGGCCCGAAAATAAGGCTGATCGAGAAGGTGTTTTGCGTGTTGCTGTTCTCGAACCTTTTGAATGCAATTTATAGCTGTTTGATAAGCCTCCTTCAATGTAATCGTCGTCGTCTTCGTCTTGAAAGGGAACGTACGGCGAATCACCAGATATTTGCCGACTATGATCTGACATGTTTTATTCTCTTTTACTAGACAACTTCCAAGCTCTTTTGCGTCTACTGCGAGGTGTGGGCAGATATATAGTAAATTGACGCCCGCTGTAATCCGCAGACATGGATCGAATTCAAAAAAAAACATTACGCAGCAGATGGACGAAACTGTCATTCCGCAGCAAGCCTCACGGTCACGCGATATGTGGAACACGAAACGCGTATATTTTTAACTTTCGCTCACAAAACTAAGTTATCAGTCACAATCACACAATAAACCATATCTTATCAATAAACCCTCAAATCATGCAGCGTCAATTACTTAGGCAACCTTTTAAAACGCCCTTCAAACATCAGCCCGAAGACGATAAGAATCAAAACCGTATCAAGTTTAAATCCGTGAAATCTTCCGAAAGAAATATGAGTAAACGCTCTCGGTCAGTATCTACTTATGCCGACGATAGTGATAGTAGTCATGCATCAGAAAATGGAGATTCATGTAATGGCGATAGCAGCAGTGATTTTCACTCTGGAACTCCCCGCAAAAAGGTCAAATCATCAAATTCAGTGAGAAAACCATTATCTAATCTATCTACAAACACTAATCCGATTACGAGGAAACGCACAGATAAATTCACCGTTCGTGATCCGATAAAAGTTCTTGGTTCAAAGTTTAAAATACCTAGTTTTGCAAAAAAGGTGATTAATGGGATGGATTCTACGGAAAACACAAACATTGGGACGCTGGGAATACGCTCTAGAGAGCTGTTTAGTACAAGAACTTGTTTGTATGACCATAAAGCAGAAGATGCACTTATATTATATGATCCGGAGGAGGATGCGAAGGAGGGGAAAGAGCAACCAAAAGAGGAAAAGCCTGTGATAAAGGCCAAATCTGTTGCGGATATTTTAGGCATCAGAGTAGTTAAGCATAAGAAGGTTCACGTTGTTGTAGGTATGAACGGAAATAATGCGTTATTCGTTTGAGTTGATCTGAGGTCAATAGGAAAAAAGTGCCAGGAGTAAACATCTTGGACTTACGATATTAATAACAACTGATTAGATCCTTGTCTGTCGAGTGTTCTTCGTCCTCATCAGGTCGAGGGCGTGAAGGTACGATGATTAGAGTTTATGTGTATGGCAGCATTACCTGTAGATTACCGGCTTATCGAGAAAAAAAAAATTCTGTGTAAACCTATCAACAGTTTCTTTATAAATGCACAACGGGTCGATTGGTACCAAACACCTTCGGGTTAGTATGAGCATTAGTTTAACTTGGCAAAACATACATATTGACAGTTCTTACGCTTTGCATTCAGGTGTATTATGGCAGACGAAATGGGTCTTGGCAAGACCGTAAGCATTCATAATGCTGTTATCGGTATTGATTGTTTAATGGTTTTCATCAACTCTTTGTATTTTAATCAGCTACAATGTATTGCTCTCCTTTGGACTCTACTTCGCCAATCTCCCGAGCCGAGTAAAGGCACCATTGACAAGTGCATAATAGCCTGTCCTTCAAGTTTGGTGCGTAACTGGGCGAATGAGTTGGGTATTGTGTTTTCCAATAATTCAGAATGATGCTGGCGCCTGCACGTTAAGCAAGCTATTAATATATTTCTTCATTAACTATACACGCGTAGTGAAATGGTTGGGTGCGACTAAAATACGTCCGTTGGCTGTCGACCACAAAGGCATGAAGGAAAGTTTAATCCGAGATCTCAGGCATTTTGCGAGCGCACAAGGGCGTTCCATAATGAATCCAGGTTCGTCCGTTGAAGTTTATTCTCAATACGGACGTTTCAATAGATTTAATTAACCATCTATCTTTTAGTACTGATAATATCTTATGAGACACTTCGTACTCACATAGCCGAGCTACAGAACTGTCAAATTGGTTTATTGTTATGCGATGAGGGTCATAGATTAAAGAATTCAAGTGCGTATTGTCTATGATCTATTGGCTATATTTGATAAACATTAAACATGGATTATTTCTTCCGACAGATTCATTGACATTCCAGGCGCTAGACTCTTTACAAGTACAACGACGCGTAATACTGTCCGGAACACCCATACAAGTACGCGTCTTTGTTATGTGGCCTGGCTAAGGAAGACCGCAAGCATAAATATAGGGTACTTACTATCCTTTTTTCCAACACGCAACATCATTCTTAAATAAGAACGACTTGTCGGAATACTTCTCCTTATTGAACTTTGCTAATCCTGGGCTACTGGGCACCCCGGCTGAATTCCGAAAAAACTACGAAATCCCCATTTTACGTGGTCGTGATGCAGATGCCAGCAGTACTGAACGGGAACTAAGCGATCAAAAGCTGACAGAATTATGGGGATTTGTCAGTAAATTTATAATAAGAAGGACGAATGATATACTATCAAAATACTGTAAGTTTCGAGATAAAATCGATGATGCGTTTGAAGCGAGATAAAGGTACTAATGTGTTGCACGTTGTAGTACCCGTGAAATACGAGCATGTAGTCTTCTGTAGGCTAAGTGAATTCCAGACCAAGCTCTACAATTTATTCTTGACGTCTCCAGAAATTAAGTGTCTGTTGCGCGGAGTTGGCTCGCAGCCGCTGAAAGGTTTGTCTGAATTCCCATTTAATTAATGCTGGATGAAAATCTTGCTTAAAATTTTACAATACAAATTCACACGCAGCTATCACTATGCTAAAGAAACTCTGCAACCATCCCGATCTTCTCAATTTACCACGAGATCTCTCTGGATCAGACCGCTGTTTTCCTGAAGGCTATTCAATTAAGGAGAAGGTGCGACATGTGAGACCAGAGTTCTCGGGCAAGATGACAATTTTAGCCAGGTTCGCCTCCGAGACGTATATACCATCCGAGAATGAATTTCGCTTTACTGGTTAATTCGCTACTAATTACTATGTTTAATATAGGATGTTAGAAAAGATACGGAACGAAACAGATGATAAGATTGTTTTGATATCAAACTATACTCAGACACTTGACTTATTCGAGAAATTATGTCGCAACAGAAAGTGATAATACAGTCATTCTATCTTTTTGTTCAAGTCTCTATGATAAGGTTAGAATTTAATTCATTCTTCCTTTATCCATAGGTATGGCTGCTTGCGACTCGATGGCTCAATGTCGATACAGAAGCGTCAGAAGCTGGTAGACAGATTTAACGACCCAGAAGGGAAAGAGTTTGTATTCTTACTCAGCAGCAAAGCCGGCGGATGTGGACTCAATTTAATTGGTGCCAATCGATTAATACTGTTTGATCCAGGTTAGTTGTGGTTGCGAGTGGTGAGATGGGATGGCGGTAAAAGGAAATGAATCACAGATTGTGCATTATTATTGTAGATTGGAATCCGGCTGCGGACCAACAGGTAGGGTTTCTATTCTACTTGAACGCAAATATTGACGATATGCTAATTACGCTCATGAAATGCAAATTTAATCATTAAATCACACTCGTAGGCCCTAGCGCGCGTATGGAGAGATGGTCAAAAGAAAGACTGTAAGCGACCTCAATATTAATGCAATTACCGCTTTCTTTTCTTTTTTTATTTTTATACTTATACATACCGTTTTCGCTATGTGTTCTTAGGTTTTGTCTATCGATTCATTGGAACCGGAAGCATCGAAGAGAAAATCTTCCAACGTCAATCTCATAAACAATCTCTTTCATCCTGTGTGGTGGACGAAGATGCAGAAGTTGAACGCCATTTCTCACTGGAATCTCTTCGGCAATTGTTTCAGTTTAACCCTGATACTATTTGCGAGACTCACGGCACCTTTAAATGTTCGAGATGTATTGATGGTGTGCAGAACGAGGCGAGTAAATGCATGAACTATGGAGACACAAGCACGTAAGTAGAGCATCGGGTGAATAAAGATAAAGGACGAAGGTAGCAAACGTATTAATAGCCAGTAGCAAGAGGAGAATTGTATGAGATGAACTCTACTAAACTTTCATTGTCTCGTAGATGGAACCATTTTACTGGAAGTGATGATCTCGAGAACATACACGATTCGATATTAAGAGAAGAAGCGAACAATGGAGTCGTTTCATACGTTTTTGAGTATATATCACACTGAATGGAAGAGAATAGCATCCACAGATTAGAAACCGACGATAGAGAATGTAATTAAAAAACGTACTCTAATTTGATACGATCGTAATGTCGCTGTGGTATTATGTCGTATTGATGGAGATGATGTATAGATATTTATCAAGAGAATATATTCACTATAGTTAACACGTTTTGAAGACATGTTAATACAAGGCCGGAATAGCTCTCTGTCTAGATGCGCCTATTATATACCCATACGCACCACTTCTGATTTCAACTATTCACACATACATTTTCCCCTCTGCCTAGTTCTCCTCTGCCCAGTTATAATCCCAAGAACCCTACATATCCACACGCGTATCGACTCTTCTTTTACATGTATCAACCCCAGACATTCTGCCAAAGACGTACTATTTATATCATAGTAAGTAAGGTAATAATGAAAAGTTATTAGTTGCAAATAAATTGTGCAACGAGCCTATTCAAGGTAATGATATTAGTGGCGGAACTAAATATATGCCTAAGAATAGAATTCCTATCGCTAATATAGTAGAAATATCTTAATAATAAAAACTTACTTTCATGGCTCAAGATAAAACAGAATTGTTGCAAGAGCAAGCTGTGTTGGATTGCACATTTACATGCCCTCACATACAGTACATAAGTTTGCGCGGTTTCTTGAAAAATGCTTTTATTTCGTAATAAAATATCTAGTATTTTGTTGGCCAACCATTATTGAAAATACATATTTTTATTCGTTGAGGCATACTATTCGGGGATTTTTCTCAATGGGATTCGAATAACAGGCCAATCCATTAACATTTTCCAGCAATCCGTGCGTATAACTTGCTTGTTAATTTTTACGTAGCACATTATTAACGCGATGATGGCAACTACAAACATCAAGAACTGTAAGCCTCGAATGGAATGGATAATATGCGGTATGTAAGAATATTATCTTAAGAAATGCGTTTATACTTAAATATTGCTGACTATCATATACTCACCATATCTCGGACAATACACATGGCAACTCCATCTCATGCTCCACACCAGCGATACCTCGCAATGGAGTAATTAAGCCAAAGGTCTTTGATATCGGAAACCGCCGGTGAGAATTAGTAGTTTCTTGACAGACAGTTTATTGCAAACCTTGGTATGATCGTATGCAAGAAAGGAATGGCCTAATAATGACTCATTCACGTATAAACGTTGACGAGAAAAGGGAAATGACATATGCACAATGTTATTTTCTTTGAATGGCATACCAAGTTGTACGACTTGTACTTTCTAACCATGCAGTCACCATTGGCCTGGTCGACTCTTATGTTTGTGCATCACGCCGCCACTAAATGAAAGAAGTAATAGTGGGAAATATAATACCTTGTTGCCAAAGTGAACAAATTCAGATAATTTTTTGGCCAATGAATTACGTTACGTATTGAATACTCTAATATTGATCGAGGCGGTCATTGGTTTGGCTTGTGAAAAAGCTTGTATGCGTTGCTGGTAGTGATCTTTTCTTTGCGAGACACCTTTCTGGATGTTTTTTACCGGGTGAAAAGGCTTATCACTTCTCTAAGTAACGGTTCAGCCTTGCCAATTGACTGTGGACAAACTATCTGTTTGCAGTATATTATTAGACACTTTTCAATGACTGAAAGAAGCTCGCTTTATTTTTCAACATTGACATGAAAAACGCTTTTCGAGAACAAGTTGTGAATTTACAGCAAAGGTCGTCAAGCCCAAGAAGGTGGCCAATTGGGTTGGTGAAAGTCTGTTAAAAATTATAATAGACCGAAGCAATTATGTATGATTCTATATGGCTGTTAAGCGCGCGAGCGGTAACAACTACACTGGTTGAGATTGTACTGACCATTTAATGGACAATAAAATTTTTTTATGTTATAAACAAGATAAAGAGAAACAACGATGAAAAAGTAATGTTTGATGATAGTGATATGTTCTATTTGGGTGTGCAAAAAAAATTCTGCTTTCTATATAGCACATGATCTTTTTACTTCGCTTGGTTACAAATGCATCACAGATTTGTTTGACAACAATCGAGTTAACAAAAAGTCATTGTTGTATACGCTCGAAAGCAAGCAGGGAAGGCATCATGATGCAATGTTTATACCAGCATATTACCGCACTAACTCGTAATGTTCCGACAAAAAAGAGCAAGCTGCATCTCGACGTCCAAATTGGTCATGCATAACAATGGTAAGTCATACAACAGCGCATGACCCAAACATTCGAAATTAAATTTTACTGCAAAGAAGGCTCTCTATTGTTTAATTGCGTGGGTCTCTGACTGCAAGCTTCGGCTATTTGTAATTATCAGACAAACAATGACGAAGCGTGCTAAAATAACGTCATTCAGTTACACTATCGTCTTTTCTTAGAAGGCCATCGAATTACTTCAAATCGCGAAACATTGGATCTTAAAAAGATTCATGGGACAATGTGTGTTATTATCATTGTTTCTCCATTGTCAATTTTTAATTATTTGTCGAAAGTCTTTCTTGCTATATACATACTAATACATACAATAAATTTTAATTAAATGTATGTACAACCAAAATGACGTCACAATGGACAGTTTGATATAAATGTAATAGTAAGTAAACAACAAACTGGTTAAGATACTAATACCGAGAAAATTCTGTATGGTTTTATCCGCATTTGCATTACATACTTTACGATACCCCGTCAAAACTTGATATTCAAATATTATGACTGTCATACCAATTTCATAGTAAGAATGAACATTATGACTAAAAGCAGTGTTGTAACTAAAAAAGGAAACCGATTTCTTCGCCAACACAACTAAGCTTAAGTTCCAATTATTAAATAGCTAAATGCTACTATTTGAATGGCAATGCTAGGCAAAGTGTTTTGGTTTAATGTAATCCATTTGTTCGCAAATGATAAATTTCCGCTTTCCTTCGTTTTGGTAGATGTGAAATTAGCAACCAAGTATGGTTGTATATCTGTCTCGATTCGATGCTGTTCAGAAGAACATCTCGTTAAGGGTAAATACGATAATATTTTTAATAACTAACAGCCATGAATAAATTATTACCCAACACATTCTCTAAAGCAGAGCCATGCAATATAAAATATCGAGTTGTTTATTTCGAACGGGAGACAAGAATAAAATATCAGAGTATTACGACCACCACCACCAACAGCCGCACGACATTACCAATGTAAGAAACTGCGCACTAATTAATTTAACGTGACTAGAAACTCGATTGATGTTATCGAACAGGTAGTATAATTGATAATAGTAGTTCGGATATAAAATCCCATGGCTCGAATAATATCTCCGATAAATATAACAACATAGGCATATATGAATAAACAAAACGTTTGTGATAAATCAATGACAATCGGTTTTAGAAATGTTCCTTCGGGTATTGCAACATAGAACGTTCTAATTAGGTAAACCACTCCCTTTCATTTTCACCCCTTCCAAAACAATTGCGCCACTAGCGTAATTCGACAAATGTAGAAAATTTGCGGATAGCGATCCGGTAAGGTCATATTTTTAATTGGTTAGTTTACTCATTTATCTCAAAGCAACAAAAGAAAAAGGAATTCCTATAAATAACCCCCCGATGCAACCTCACAAACGCTTACCGGATACAATTTTAAAATCAAAAACTATACCACTCTGCGATAACCAACACAAGAGACTATCTCTCTATTCAAACAAAATAATACCAAAAGTAACTTATTGCGTATTCAACAACAAATACCGTTACGAGATCTCAACACACCTACACTTGTATTGTAAAAGTAACATGACGCCACGTCAGGCAGTCTCTATCAAAATTTGGTCAATTAACCAAACGAACGCCGCGTTGAAGAAACATATCCGAGAATCAAAATTTTCTTACGACCCTGGAGGGAAACCATTAATTCACACAACAAGTACTTGTCATTTATAATGAACAACTTCAATTTATATCTTCGGAAAGAACGACCCGTCGAAGAAAATCCGAAAGCATATCGGAAAAGCGACCTGACAAAGACTGAAAATCCAAAGGCAAATTCAAAATTTTCAGTATCTTTCAGGATCGTTCAGGAAGAAACGGCCTGTCCCAAGGTCGAAATCCAACCTTTCAGGAAGAAACGATCTGTCCTTCAAGACCGAAAATCCGATTGTTTAGGAAGAAACAGTTTGTCCCAAGGCAAAAAATCCGAAGGCATATTTGGTCTGTGTCTTTGTAAGAAACGACTTGTCCGAGACCAAAAATCCGAAGGCATATTCGGTTTGTGTTTTCAGGAAGAAACGACCAATGCCGAAAATCCGAAGGCATATTGGTGAGAGCACAGACTCACGTCATTAGCTCTTCTGATGACTACCCGCCATGCGGGGGGCCGGGGGGCGGGGATATTGCATCAATGTAATCACTTATTATTTTTATTCTAGTATATAGACAGAGTATGCTTTGTGTGTGTAACTAGAAAATTAGATAGCTGGAAAATCAAATAGCTGCACTGTACTGTAAAAATTGCCGTGTAATAACAATGCTATATTATAAATAAACGTCTTACGTTTTTAACTTAATTATGCAGTATGCGTACTCATTATGCAATTGTATCGACAATTTAGAGGACAACCAACATTGTTACCCCTGCGTCCAGTACACTTGTCTACTATAAACGAAAGAACTTCTTTCATTGTCTATTCGAATGTAGATATGTAGGCTTAGCTTTTATTGAGCAAACAAAATGTCAACGTTTGTAGCACACTTCACACATAGAACCATCAGCTATATGGTTTCGTTTACTTTGATTATGTTCAAAATTACCTACATGACACTGTGGTTAGATAAAATATAACCAACCAAACGTCGATGCAGTCTGGCTATTCTTGAAGACTTTTCGATGGATGCAATTACATAATTGAAGAAGACTTTTCGATGGATGCATTACATAATTTGACCATACAAAGCGTCATGTGTAACATATTATTGCAGGCTTCCATTCTTACTTAGAACTCGCTTCTATTATTCTACCAAGAAGATTCAAGCAGATGGTGATAATGAGAATAATGTCAATTCCAAATTGGAGTTACGCCGTCCACATGAATTTATCCGCAGACGAATATTTCGCGAACAAATGAACGCAAACAAAGAAGCTCTGTTCCATGCGTTCTGAAAACAATGACGCCAACCAGCACTTTAAAATTTACTAATCGGTATCCATAATAACTTAATAAAGAGACGCAATGACAAACGGTTTGTAGCACAAATGTTGTACTTGCGCAGTTGCATAATAATGAGTTATTGTTACGAGACATACCTGGTAAACCAAGCACGCGGTCGCACGAGCAGGAAACGTAGCTGGTGTGCGATTCGGTGATACGAACGTCGTTTGTTCCGGGTAAAACCACTACAGGCTAAATATAGATTACGCAAGGTCAATAAACCCCCCCCTTCCCCATTCGAGAATCAAGATCGCGAAAATAATATAAATAGTCTCAGACCACAAATCAAAACATGCATTTTGATGCGGCTGCTCGCACTGTTTCTTGATAAAAAAAAAACTATATGCCACCAACATAGTTATTTATTGTATGGTCACCAACACAACACTTGAGAACAACACTCACTAACAACCTGGAGATTTGCGTTCTTTATTTGTCAACACATACGATTGATAAATGACAGTCGAATCAAAACACAGCACCCTTGACACAACATCACTCATGCGTGCTACCTCCTTGCCACTCAGTACTGCGAGTTTTCCCTGCTCTGTTACCAGCCTCGGGCGTACCTCACTAGCAACCTGGCGCAGTACATGTACACAGAACTCTTGTGAAAAATATGAACCGAGAGATCAACGTACAAAGTCACGTACTGCTAAATAGTTCGTTTCCAGACAGTCGGGAATATTCAACCGCTGTCGCCCCGCTAAATATGCACAACACGAGTTCTCGAATCCAAAGTTTTTAACGCCATCCATTCAAAATTCGGGGCGGAAAAGAAGGCCTAGGCTCAACATCAACTTCTTTATATAACGCTAGCCGCTCTCAAACAAAACCAAGCTTTAGACTGGCGCCATTCCACGACCATATGGGGGCGCAAGCCGGAAATATAAAAGTATCATTTGTGGAAATATGCAGCACGAAAAATCGAATTCTCGCGATACGGACAAAATCTACCACTGACGGATGTTGGTCACTCTCAAATAAAACCAAGCTTTAGACTGACGCCATTCCACGACCATATGGGGCGCAAGCCGGAAATATAAAAGTATCATTTGTGGCAGGAAATCGAATTCTCGCGATACGGACAAAATCTACTACTGACGAATTCTTGGCAGTATTGAACACGATTAAGAAGAATTTGTTTGCTCGAATCGGCTAATTTATGCAAGGAAATTGTGTTATAAGAAACTTTTGTCTTCTTCATTGATATCATAAATATGCTGTATGTTAATATACAATGATCACATTAATAAACATGAAATGATTCTTACCCCCAATTTCCGTGTCACTTGTGCATTGTTTCACAAATGTTTGGTTCTTATTATTAGTGCGTTCACAATCGCCTGCTGAATTGGGTACTCACCATTTTAAAAAAATATTTGTGAGGCGTGCAGGGGCAAACTTTCTTTTCCAATACCGTATCGCACTGGTTCTAGTTACCCCCTCAAGTATAGTACACCCCTTCCTCCTCCTTGCTTAGTATCGGACACTAGAACCAGTGCCATATTTACTTCTAAACGTTGTTGAATACATATATTCTCACTGCTACGTTTTTTTCCAACTTTTGGTAATTGGTTTCTCGTTACGTTAATTATACTTGCTGGTTTCATTATTTGCATCCTCAAAAGCTTTCCTGCTTGCATGGAATAAAAATCTTGAAAATTGAATAAACGTGTTTATTACGTTTGTTTCTATTAGTTGTGTACACTCACTTGACAAACGTATTGGCAATTCCTGTTATTCATAGTAAACCATATGAAACGTTTGTTTTCAGACATATTGTCTGTATATGCTATGTAAGTAGCAAAGCCTTTGTATCGTGTTGAAACTAATAGCTTATAAAATTGTCGTTTGGGTAAATTGGCGGTATATACAGGTGACTACGAAACAGTGTAATATGTGTAATTATGTACCAGGACCTTATTATTCTTTTTAAAAAGTACCATCAATTATCATTGTTAAGAATGTAGTATAGACGGACAATAGAAACGTTGGAAAATAAAGACGTTTTAATACTCTTATCAGGTATTTAAGAGAAGTATCTACTTTTAGCCTGCCTATCATAGAAACAGCACAGTCCCATATAACAGCTGCGCCACTCAATTAGAAAGGGGGTTAGATTAAGTCAATAGAATAGTAGCCGAAGAAGCCATGAAGAAGTAGGCCCGCAGAAGAGTGTCTATAATATATATGCAACGGAGAAGTTATCCGACTCATGCAAGTCGGATCATCAAATATACAAAGGGCACGGACTATTACTTCCGAAAATTTTCTATATCGAACGAACCCCTCGATTCTAATTCGCTCGCTCGCTTGCATACATCAACAATTACGTAATTATACACATATTACCGAGTAATAGCAGTGCTTGATTTATTATAACAATAGTCTCGCTTGATAAAATGCATTGGGCTATTATTAACGGTCACAATCGTACTGAGCAATAAAAGAGTTGAAACGTGTTTGTGCTAGTTTATCTCATCCAATGGACGGTTATGTTGATATTCTCAGTTGGCATGTCCGAATGAAAATTTTATACAGTGTAAGTGAAGAACTTGAAGCTTTTCTGCTACAAAAATTATATTTTCACTAGTCAATAAATTTTTTCAAAGTGATGTGTGCGTTGAAGTCACATGATAATGTCATAATTTTGAGTTAACCTTTTATAGACCTGTCGTCTGACGAATAAGTGACAAGACCTTGTATTAGTATCCGGTGTTGTAATAATGTCTTACGTAGACTGTAAACTTGTATATCGAGCTTAGCAATCATAGCTCAATCATAGGATATACATGATGCTCGCGCCTCATAACGTTGATAAAGTTCTGTGAGTACTCTTAACTAAAATATATAATTACATATGGAAGAAGAATTATGACGCTACTATTATACGTATGGTAATTTTAAGGGTTCGGTATTGACAATCATGTTCCTTCCTGATAACCCATTCCACATTGCTTTACGGTTTCCAAGCAGTAGTGATGTTCTCAAATAGACAGGCTGTCGGGAAAAAAACTTTTCGACACAGTTTGTGGTATCTAGTTCGTGGCATTCTTAATGATTATCCAACATGACCAAAAGTCCAGTATAGTAAGGATTAACGAGCCTGATACTCTGAGGACTTGTTCTGGATGAGTCGATTAACAATGTCTTAGCCACATCAAATATGCAAGGTGTTGATCTCAATCAAGTATATACGTACGTACCATCTTGCCAAAATACATGTACAACACATAATCTTAGCAGTAAACTATATGAAAAATCTTTTAATTTCGAAATTCTCTATTGTTCATACGTACTATGTGTCCCATTATCAGTTTGAAGTTAATTGATTGTGTTTTTCGAAAAAGAATAGTGGTTGTATGGAATTAACTAGCTCGATGAAGTGATCGTCTTATGTTACACATGTGATATGAAAATCTGTGTGCAACATAAATAATGGATGATATTAATAGATTCAGTCCTTTTAAGTGGGCAATCCGAAAAAATAGTCGTCACAGTGAACATAGTGCGTATGGACAATAAATATTTTCAAAATTAAAGGGTTATGCTATGTTTTATTAGTGTTGTGCTTATTATTATATTTTTGGCAGGCTGTGTATTTGAAGACACCCTGTTTGCGAAACAGACAACAGTTTTCAGTTCTAAGAATAATAGCATGAGCGTAAATGCATAACAAAAATGCAAAGGTGGGGTCAAGTGATAAGTCACAATAGAACTGTGGGTAAAATGTCGGTGAATTGTCAGTCTCCGCATGCCAATCATGAGACTGTAAATACAAGCCTGCATATAGTATCTGTTTTTAGAGGGAATACAGCATCGCATCGGGATTGTATGTTTGATAATCAACTATTTACGGGATTATGTAAGATCTCTCTTGGCTGGCTGTGTAGGTTGCGTGACAGTATCAGTCCAAGATGGATCCAGTATGTGATATTTGGAAACTTTTCGTACACTCTTTCGTTGTTTAGCCTGGCCAATCCATCGGGATACAGTGGAAACCCTTAATCGACAAAACGACGGTGTAACTGGGTCTATGCATTGTGTTTGGCAGAAACAAAGAATTATTCTGGGGGTAGTTGTCATTGTCCAAATATTACTTCATTAACAATCACAGATTATCTTGGTGTCAACAGATGCTTTTAAGACATCCGCCTGCGAATGTTTAATGTGTTTTTTGGACAATATTCCAATGGTTGATAAAGTTCTTACAACCTACCGCATGATGGTGTACCATTACAGCAATTTGCATTGAATGGGGGGCTTGCACAGCCAAACAAAGGTTCTCTGGTTATCAATGCAAAACGGAAACATATGTGTGTGCAGCTGCTAATATACATCGCCCACAAAGAATAACGTTTACTGTTGTCACACGTGCGAACTTTCAGAGTATACTGGAATCGGAATGCATGAATCCCCCCAGATAAGGTATTGATCAACGGATTTTTTAACTCTTCAACGTGTGATAACAGTTGACTAAATTACTCGATAACCAAGTTCATAAATCGTTCAAGTTTAACTGGTCCATCTTTGTACGCATTAGGGAGCAATGGGTTTACAGCGAAACGTGTGGCTTGAAATCTACTCTTTTTTTTTTTTTAGAAAAAAAAAAAGAAGCTTACTGGTACCTTTGAGATGCATTATTATTATGGTTAGCTCTCAGTTACGTTCCCCTTAGCTGTACTACAAATAACAAAGCAACTCGATGTATTGTCATCCGTTATTCTGACGGTATTCTCATACGGCACCGATAATAAACACTATATCGGTAACGTTATGCCCCAAGTTGGATAATTGACTTGGGAATCCTTTACAATAAAATGCAAGCAATGCTCAATTTTTACGCTCAAAAGCGAAACGCTTTTTTAAAACTCAAAACACCAACAATTGTTTGAAAAAAACCCCCAGCCTTTTTATTTGTATCGTACAATACTTGACACAAAAATTCCCCCAGTCATCGGTTAAAAAAATGTCGTTGTTTTGTGCCGTCAAAATCGGCAAACGACTAATCCGCTTTGGTAAATTCATCGACGTTGGCGCTGTCCGTTATCCATTTCCCGAAGAACTAGTACCTGGATTTGGAAATTTTGATATCAAACTTGTTGGCGTTCGGCCAGTTTACGGCACGGGTAGCATTGGTTTTGATACAAACCAAGTTCAGAGCGAAACCTATAAATCGATGCCAACAGAGATTCTCGTCCGTCCGTTCGACAAGCGCCTATCGAAATGTAATAGAAGACAAGGTTTTCTTTGCGGGAACGAGTTGGCCTATTTCTCTACCGGGCCATTATGGAGCGGCCAGGCGAAAACAGACATTCGAAACGAACATTTTCAGTCTATTTTACAAGTTTTGAGAGTGGACATACATTATAACATAGCTATCGTACTTGTATTCAGTTTTAAAAAAGAAAATTGTTTTTCAAAAAAATTTTATAAGCTAGACAATGTAGCTATTGCATGGTCACAACAACTACTTGTCATTTACAATGAGTTGTGACCATTGCGCTAAAAATCTGCGCTGGACACAGACATCCTTATGTCTGTGTCCTAAATCGGCCCATTAGGGGTGATTTGCAAAAATACCATTCGAATCGGTTAATTTATGAAAAACATGTCTTTTGCATCAATGTAATCACTTATTATTTTTACTTAACTATTAATTATGTTTATAGAAATTATTAAAATTATACCCTTTACTCATTCTTGAAATTAGAGACTAGAATTAATCTTTGATTTTAAGCAATAGTAATAGCAATAATAGTAATAGTAAGAGTTACACTAAATATTGATTAACATTGATGCAAAATATGGGAATTCAAAATTAAAACTACTACTATTTGAACAGCGCAATGAATTGTCCGCATTAACCATTTTTCTTTCGAAACCTTCTATCGATTAATGCTTGTAATACAAGTTTTAGAATATTTAATTAATCATTTCTCATATTTATTGCCAATATACCAAGCATACCCACATGGTTTTATTGACGCTGTCTTTGGAAAACAGTCAAGACTATCAAGTATTTTTGTACATAGTATATCACACTGTAACAATGCGCTTTTCTAAAAATGTAAAAAAAAAAATCTGGAATAATAAACTATTGTCCAGAAAAAGTTTCTATGGGCACTTGTTAAAACCAGCTAATTCATATCAAGTTATCAGATTTTGAAAGGAGGCATTATTCGTATGTAAACGATTACTATCTGCCGACTGTATGCTAAGCAATTTTGCTTTTAAGCTCCGCCACAGTGTTACAGAACTCTTTGCTATTACTTGAAATCAATGTTTATCAAATATTTAATCAGATTTCGTCTGGATTGGGGAATAGGTGGTCGGTAATATCAATTCATATTACAAATACAATCTTATCTTCCATAATGGGAAATGATAAATTTCGGGTACAAGCCACATCCGCCCGACTTTGTGTCGTACAATCGGCTCCGCCATTTTGCAGCTCGGTTCTACTTGAATATGAATATCCGTCAAGTAAAACGATAGAGTAAGTTTTATTTAGGACTCGCTCTCAGATAGTTTGACCAAGTTCTAATTAACTTGCCTTGGCGCCGAATTTACGTTCGTCAAAAACGGCTTGTAGCGTGAATTCCAGCAACTGAGCGGGATCGGATATTAGTAAGCGCTACCCCTGTTTAAGTTTTTATCAATCTATTTTATTTGTTCAATATGGTGATTTTAATTAGAATAACATCTAACCCTTTGGGCTTATATTATCAATCCATTAGATTGTTGCGGTGTATTTGTTCTTTCCTTCCCAATGCTGCAAGCAATGCACTGTATTCTTATCCTTTTAGAGATCTGAATTCTAATTTATTCGACAATAAGCGTTTCGAGTGGGCCATTCGAGTTATCTATTGTTCAGAATTTATTTCCTAACGAGAGGGAAAGGGTTTGCAACTCTACCGTTGGAACTATAACTACGTAATGTTTTGTTCATTTACTTAATAAATGGTAAATTTTTTATCAAGTGCGACACTTTTTCTGTGGCCCATCCATCAGGTGAGAGAAATACAAACTTACCAGCTACTATTACATGCTGAGATTTAGCATCTATGAACTAATCTTGTGATGTGTAAAGTTAGTTAAAAGGGATGGAACTTTCGCAGCGACTATTGTTTAAATTTTTTTATTCAATCATTTTACACTTGAAATAGCTTTAAACAAAGCCTAGTTGTCTCTTAAAAGTATAAAGTATCGAGTCATTATGCGCAGCATCCCTATCATTCTTTTGATTTTTATATTTAACAAGGTACTACAACATTTACATAACAAAGCGTTAGGTATTAAAGTTTTCCCGGGAGGCAATCATTTCACCGACAAATATTCACCATCATTATTCGAAGTTATCCTATTTGCAGTTGATTGTCGGCGAAATGGACCCCCCCTTCATTTGGCTTTGGTAAAAAGAACAATAATGATAAGGCAAATAAAGATGACTATGATATCAAACAAAAACTTGGGGGTCCTTGTGTCACATCGCAGAACTATATGAGTTGTCATTGATCACTTGTTCATTCAAGCAATAATGATGTGATGCATTATTGATACTACAAATTTGGCTTTTATAAAAGCGCTTGATGGCCTGTTTTTAGTTAATCAAAGTATTCCCCAAATCGTTTTAAACGCCATCGAACATATGAAAAAGGATATGTGATAAAGCGAGCTATACGATCACAATGAGTGAATGAATAATACAATTTCTTTATGACACATCTTGTGTCTAATTGTCTGTCATGTTTGAAATTTTCTCGTTGTTAGCTTCGCGATAATCCGAAGAATAACAAATTTGGATTTGAAATCTGTACCGCCTTGATAGAGACATATGGTAGGATTAAGAAATGTGGTGGACCAACCGTAGATAATAAACAAGCTATTAAGATAAACGTGATCTGGGTTAAGCACGTTACCAAGACGGCCCGTAAATATGGGTTGAAGAGAACAGAACTGACTGTTATTAAGATTATTTTGTTTGCGGAATTCCAACATCAATACAAAAGTAGCTAAGCATTTACAAATATGTTTATCATAATGATATGATGTCTTGAATAATAATATACAGTAGGTCACATGAAGAAAATAATTTTCAATAGTCAATGTTGCATCTGCTATTTTGTTGGGTGTTCTAAAAATAAACAATATAAATAAATAGTATAAGATTAATAACTGGATTATCCGAGGTACAAAGGTACAAAGTGTTACACAAGTAAATCACAAGTTTCATTCATAAGCCGAGTCTTTGAAAGGAAAACGGGTTAACAAAATGGCTGTAATTGACAGAGTGTTTAATAGGGATTTTTAATGATACCCCGGATTTGATAACGTTATTTATAGTATTTATATGACACTATCATTACTAGAATGGCATTATAATATATAAATATCGGTACATGTAGGAATATTTAATAAGCTCATGTTGTCCTATTTGTTTAACAACTTTTTACAACAGCAAACCAATTTATAGCGTTCGGGGAATGAGCTCCGAAGATGTTGTATCACGAAAGCAGCAGCATCGCGGTTTCTGATAAATACACTGACACTCGCCTCATTGCTGATATTGGAAATATCAGCAATGAGCCGCGAGAAACAAAGCATTAATCTCTCAGAAACTACACAAGCTGTGGCTAATCCGCCACCACGCAAACGCAGAAGACATAAATCGAAGGAAACTGATTATACAGGACATAACCCAATTATGACTGTCAAGCAACGCAATCGACAAGCTATAACTAGACCCAAAAAGATTTGTA